GCTAAATATTTCTTTTTCATCGTAAATATATTTGGGAGTAATTATATGAATAACAATACTTGAACGTTGTCTTTTTAAATTTAGATGTTTTTGTTCAAAACGAATTTTCTTGTGTCATAGTATATATATATATATATATATATGTGTGTCTGTTTGTGCCTCTGTGTGTGTGTGTGTGTGTGTGTGTGTGTTACTAGTCTATGCTTGTTAGAAAGACAGCTGACACGTCCTCCTAGTACCATCTGTTGTTGAATATCTGAACTATATTACATTGGATAAAGTCAATAACTGAACAGTTTAAACTACAGAAAACTGTAAATCCACTTGTTTTTATTTCCTGTTCTTATGATTGTTATAATTTTTAAACAAACAAAATTTTTAGAAAGTATTTTATTATAAAATAAAATTAATACTTACCTTTATTGAATTTCAAATTGTAAAAGAACTATTTCAATTGCATGCATTACAAAATGCTAAACTATAAATTGGAAATATAAATTAATAATTTATTTTTAAAAAAATGCAACATAACGATTTTGAATTTTGTAAACATTATATATGTGAAGTTTCTTACTGGCAATTGCTAAGAATATTTACTAAAGCGATAAACGATATGGCAGAATTATTAATACAAAATTATATTTTCATATGAAAAAGAAAATCTATTTGTGGATAAATAACTATTAGAATGTATGAAGAAAATGTTTATCAATCTAATAATCCTAATCGCAATTATAGAAAAATAAGTAAAATAATAATAATATAAAATAAAGAGTTGTAAATGTTATTTTTACCGATTAAAAAAAAAAAAAATATATATATATATATATATATATATTTTATATATGTATTTATGTATATGTATATAAATATGTAGTCAACAAGTTTAAAAGTACAGGACTATTCTGTTATATGACTATTTTGATTCTGCGCATAACTGTTTTTTATTGATTTGTTCTTTGTGCGTAATATTTTGAATAAACCACAAAACCAAATTTATAAATGTATTAAAATAAAAATTGAAAAATTCTCTCTTTATTCAAACATACACGTAGATATCAAGTACAATAATAATCTCAAAAGAAAAACATTTTTAATGAAACGTAAAAGAAATATTTAGAAAAATTAAATTTCTGTTAAACTTAAATATTTAAAATTATCGTTTTCGTCCGTATTCAAAATATTGAGATGGAAATTATTTTTTAAAATTGAATATTTTTATATATGAAATAAAAACATTTATATATGTAAAAATTATTAATAAATTTGAAATATCAATTCTTCATAGTATTATATAAGGAATTTTAACATAAGTGATTTAAAAATAAATACAATTCAAAATTGATTACATTTTGAAACAATGTAAAAGTTGATTTACCTAAAAAAATTGTAATTTTGTTTACAGTATAAAATATTGACAAATAAATAATTAAATTTATTATTTTTCAATTAAAACTTAATGCATATTTTGTAGTTAGTTTTAAACTTGCATGTAATATTAATGAAATAATGAAAATTTTAATTAATAGTGAAATAAAAATGATGAAATATGTGATGAATTATATAAGATTATATAAATAGTTAACGATGAAAAATATGTAAAAATAATTTGTTAAGAATTGTTATACCACATAAATATTTACAAAATAATTCTATTCTCTTTAAAATATTTCACATATTTTAAATAAAATTCGGATTATTTTAATAAATATCATATCTTTTATTTCTTTAACACATTGTCATGCTAAATGCTCAATATTAAACAAATATCTTTAAATAAAAAAATATATGTATTTTAAAACATAACCGTCACATTTTTGGATTGATTGTCAATAGGTTTCCTGATATAAAAATTAAATATTTTAATTAAATAGTATAACCAATATAACAATAAATTTACGTTATTTAAGTAATTTAATTACATCAAATTATAAAAATTAATTTATTAATATAAAATGTATAAAAGGATTTGTCATTGTTACAACAAATATAATCTACTAAAATATCACGTACTTTCATATTATTTTTCTAAATAAAGGATATTTGATTATTTTTTTAAATGTGTGGAACATTTATTTTAAGCAAACGAACGAGAAGGGGACCGAGAGAAATAGAATAAGTGAGAGCTATATAAAGCTGTATATGATCGACGCAATAAAAATTTGTAATCTTTGGGTAGTTGTGTGAGATACTATTGAATACGATTTATAGAGAAAAAAAAAATTGGAAGAAGCGAATAAATAAGAAACTCCTTGCAAACATGGATTTGTCAATGAAAGACCCAAATGGATCTAAGCCTTAGGTTTTCATTTCTTTATTGCTTACAATCGCTTTATCTTCTTTTATTCACTTTTACGGTATTTTTATTAAAGCACGTATTTAGAAACATATACCAGATACCGATTATCTTTTCTGGAAAATCGATGAAAGTATATTTTTCATTTCTTTTACTTTTAGTTTTAGTCGATTGGTCGTACAAAGACTAATTTCTGTTTTCTTAAATTGTCTACGGTTTCCTATATATATATATATATATATATATATATATATTTTTTTTTTTTTTATTTATTTATAGTTATTCTAAGAAGACAACATTCACACAAAAATGAATGAATTTGAACGTTAAATTACGTGCCTGTAATATCTCTGAATATAACATTCATCCTCGTTGGCTTACCATCAGTTCCTAGTGCGGCACTTTAATAACTATGAAAAATTCGAATTTAGAGTAATCGAATATTTCAGAAAATTTCAGATCAAATAGCCCGTATGTTTCAACCCGCAAATATCTCGAATTTTATTAATTCACAGAGGAGAAAAAAAAAGAAGATCAATTTACAGAGAGAGAGAGAGAGAGAGTGAGAGAGAAAGCAAAGGTAGTCGTCATGCACCCGAGTAAAATACATAAGCTAACGGTAGTCTTTCACTCCCTGCTCCAGCAAATGCATTTCTTACAAATCTCTTTCTTTGCCTACTTAGCTTAAACGCCTATGTATAAGCGAGGGTGCGCACGTCTCAAATTTATCACGTATGCTTAGCGCTCACGCAGCTTGCCGGCAGCACACATTCATCTCCCTCTACGATCTTTTCATCTTCTCTTTGCCCCTCTTGCTCGCCGACGATTGGCCAACGGAGTCAGGCCCTTTTCCCAAGCTCGACTGGCTCCTCGGCTATTCACGCTACTCATCGCACGAGGAGAAGGGGGTCACGAGGGAACAGCGAAGAGGGGGAAAAACACGGGGCATCGAGAGCGGCATTCTGAAATGTAGTCTAGCCTCTCTTGAGTCCCCCGCGCTGTTCTGTTCCCATCGTCGGCAACAGTGCGGCAGCGAAGGTGGAAGACATATATCGAGTCGAGCTCGAGACGCGCAGCGATTTTTTATGCGGACGTTCCTGGATGCCGGAGTCCTGCTCGGCATCTTCGGCAGCCCGTCACGGCTTCGATTCCACCTTGATAAACGTGGAAGGAAGTGCGTCGAGGTGAGGTTCGTTCGAGAGGCTATGAGAATAAAGGCGTATCATTTCAGTGATTCGACCATCTAGATAATTACAATGCCCACGCGCTCCTCTACAAAATCTTAACTATGAAAGTGGCTAGTGAATTGTGCTGGAATTACGAGTGAGTGAAAATTGTCGGGCAATAACGAGAGGATAATCTTTCTTGTTTCGCTGAAAAGAGTGGGAAAAGTGGGGATAGGAAGAATATGCGTCTGAATGAGAGAAAGAGAGAGAGAGAGAGAGAGAGAGAGAGAGAGAGAGAGAGAGAAAGAGCGAGCTGAAATAACGGCGTCGTGAGTGTGGTGCAGCAATAGCAGGCAGTGCTGTGGTTTGGAAGTTCAAGTGGTTATACCGCATTCGTTAATTTCAACATTATTATCTGGAGCGATTTAACAGAAAAGAAATAAGGAAAGAAGTAAAGAAAGAAAAAGACAGAAAGATAGAAAAAGGTAATAAGGCACCTCGATGCTTTCACTTGATGATTCAACGTGCCAGTGTTTGGAAACTGTTAGAAGCTTGAATGAGTGTTATTTATGGCCAATCCGTCTCTCGTTAGATTCAGATAGCGAGTTCTAAGGCATTGTGACTAAAAGTTAATGACTGGACCGCTTAGAATTCCATTACATTACATCATTTTATTCTTATGCGATATTGAGGTTGTAAGATCAGGGATACCTGAACACGGATAGCTATTGATTAAAAATTAAATTGAAAAAACATCAACTTTATCGATGAACGTCTATGATATTAATATTGGCTATACTTTTCGTATTATATTATATTATATATATATATATATATATATATATATATATATATATATATATATATATATATATATATAAATGACCATTTTCGTAGAAACAATTAAAATAATCTATTCGTGTTGTTAATGTTATATTCTATTTGAAAATTATATAAATATGTAAAATGTATATTCAGGAGATATAAATATAAATCAAAATGTTTTTTATAAAAATTCGTTAATATATATAATTACTTATAATAACTTATAATTTATTATTGCTAGTGTCAGGCGTTACAATAAATTATTATTATTATTAATTTATTATGATTAATATAAAGGCTAAAATAAAGAGATAAAGCTACTTATATTTTTTCTACTTATACTCTTTATAATTATTTGATAATTGAATTTTCAAAATTTCAACAAAAATGGAATTATTGACAATTGTTTTATAATTCAGTAAACAATGATTATTGCTTGTTTACATTATAATATTTATTCGATAATCTATATAATATATGATATTATTATTTAGCTATTAATATTTTTTATTCATTATTTGAATACTCATTCAATATGTATGTGTGTGAGTGTGTGCGCGCGCGCGCGCGCGTTTGCTCGTAATTTCTATATTACTTATGAATGGTCGATCTAAAATAGTTGTTAAAACTTTTATTAAATTGTATAAACAATGTTATAAACAGAAACGTATTTCATGCAAGTGACAATAAAATATATTCTCTTTTAATTCCAGACTTTGGTTAAGGCATCAATGCTGAGTGATTTAGATATACCCACGATAAAAGAAGTTGAAGCCAATATTTGCCTTAGTGGGCGTAACGAGGCATGTACAGGTACAGAGGATGAACATCGATTATCGGTGAATGAATCATCATCGTATAATTAAATCGATCGATTTGGCAGATTAAGCTAAAAAAATCAAGTCGCATCTCTTTAACAATGCAGTCCAGTTGCGAGAGTATGCAACAGCAGAAGCAACAGCAGATGCAACAGCAGAAACAACAGCAGAAACAACAGCAGAAGCAGCAGCAGAAGCAACAGCCGAAGCAACAACATCATGGCAGCTTCCCCGATCTTCAATATTATGAAATTGGTCAGAGCGACGTCAGCATTTCCGATACCTTTCAACGCTCAAGTCCCGACAATGCCAGTCCATGTCCGAGTTCTTCGATGCCCACAACTCATCTCCACCCTATTGGCTTGTGTACCGGCTCAGAAATGTTGAGTCAGCAGCACCAATTGCAGGAGGTCATTCCCGGAAGTGTTTTCAGTGACGCTCCTCTAGGGCATCTTCATTATCATATATATCCGAGTCGACGAACGATCACTTGCCCCGACAGTGCACTCGGGCAAGGGGGCTCCGGATGCCGGGGCCACAGTAGACTCATGGAACAGCTTCATCAACACGATCATCATCAACACTATCAAAGGCACGCCCAACCAAGGACACAAATGCGCCAACCACCACCTCCGCCACCATCGTCGAATATGGAGGATCTCACGAAGGAAAGGGACGAGTCGCCTTCCATAAATCTTGACAATTTTGGTAGATACACACACGTAGCTCTTGAGAGAAATGAGAAAGGCAAGAATATTTCCTTGGTGGAATTAAATAACGATTCACAGGTAAATATGCAATTCTTGTTTGTAAATGTGTGCAAGCCTGGATTTTTACGAAAAAGTCGTCTTTCAGTTATTTTTATATCGTTGATATTTTTGTATTTTATATCATCTAGTTCTAGTTATCATCATTAAAATGTTGAAGATGTGGTTTTAGCAAATTCACATGCATATACTGATAAGTCATTTTTTATTTATATATTTACGAAGTACATAAATATTAAAAATTCAGTCTTTAGACATTTTTATAATAAAATCACTATAATCTCAATAACACTATGAACAAATCAATCAGCAAAACTATATAGATGGAAATGATGAACAAAAGCAATTAATTGCTGAGAATATATATTATTGAAAATTACAGAAAAATTTTATTAAAATAAATCAACAAGTCACGTCTAAAGAAAACATTATTATCTGCATAAAAGCTAAAGAAAGAGCAGACACATAAGTAAATTCAATAACAGTTTAAGAGAAGAAGTAATCTCGAGTCTTACAATCAGTGAAAAAATAATTATTAAAACAAAAACAAACAAAAAAAAAAAACAAAAAAATTATCTAAAAAGGATAAAAATATCTAAGGACACTTAGTGAAGCATAAAGTGCTCTATATATGTGATTAATTTAATCACAACTGCAGATTCCATCTGAATAAGACATTGATGACATCAAATTTGTAGTCATAAACTGAGTCGGAAATAGAGTCAGAAGTCGGAAATTGAAAGGGTTAACCTTAGAATAGTCGTGACTAACTTTATGATTCTATGTCCACATACTTTAATTACGTCTTATACTTTAAAAACATAATTTACACTACTATATATTTGTATGTATATATATATATATATATATTTTTTTTATTCATTTATTGAAGAAATAAATGTTATAAATACTATGGATAAGTAAATACTGTATATATTATGTTTATATAATTGTCAAAAGGTTTTAGTTAAGTACTATACTTGTGAAAAACATTTTTTCCGATAAATATATCTTTATACTTGGTATATGAAAATATTTATTTATCAAATAGTTACATTGCATAATATTTGATTTGATATTAAATTTCATAACAATATTTTAGAAACGTTCAACACTAATTACAATAATACGCTTATATTTTGAAATATATATTGAAAGAGAAAAAAATTTAATGAATATTTCAATGCAATGCGATTTTGTACTATTTTACACATACATAGACTTCGCACCTGTGAAGCGAAAAATTTTCATTGGCCGAATATTTTATCAATATATTACCAGTACTGGGTTTGCTGTGGTGGCGGTGTTGAAAGAATTCCAACTTGTGTCGTTACGAATATTGACAAATGACTCGAAAATATTAGGAGCCACTGACAGTTCGAATTCGCATAACTCTCGTTGCAGGTCGTGATGGGCGGATCGAAGGGCAAGTGCCAGTGCCATACAATTCAACAACAAGCGCAACAGCTGCTGCAGCAGAAGCATAACCCGGGTGCTCAGGTCATAGGTCGCATCGAGGAAGAAATAACAGCGGCGAGTCATCACCGCCAGCAACCGCCAGCACTACCGCCAAGACCCCCTCCGAGACCTTCCAGTAGACGCTATGAATTGCCTCCTGATGCTTCCGACGACCAAAGTGAGTTCGAAGATTTTTCATTTCTACCGTTTATTGATCGTACATATTCTAATAGACTGTGCTAAGTAATAGGTGTCTGTAACCAATGTCTTAATGAAAAGTTTACGACAAAAGAAAAAAAAAAAGAAAAAAAATTGATATTTCATAAGTAACGCGCGAGAATATTTATGGGATATGGAAAACGTTATTAAAAAGTTATAATTAATTTATCGATCGATAAACTCAAAATGGATATAAAAATGATCGTGAACTTAGATATCGTGAACTCGAACTAAAATAGCAATTAAATTTTATTTTATTCGATCGATCGGTTCTCCTAATAGTTATTAATCTAAATGATATGTCAATTTTTATTAATAATTTAAGCAAAGAGTAATTAGTTATAATTATAAATTTCTGCATATATGCTATAAAAGTAAGAATAAATATTCCAAGAGATTGTTGCTTAGCTTATTAATATCAAAAGTAATATATGCTATCTATAGTTTTAAAAATGTTGAGATATATATTTTAGATTTACATAATTGTCGATAATGGTAGAAAGATGATAAATTAATTTAATATCATTTGGGCCTTAATATCATTACCGCCTCATCGTAATAACCGATTAATCGAAAAAACTCAATTGCTAAGTGAGTCTTAATTTAATCTAAATGAATAATTAGGAGAATCGCTCTTTAAACTCCACTATAATTCAATTTTATTTATAATATAAATTATTTTATACAATTGAATGGCATAATTTTAAGATACATTTTTTTATTTCATCGTGTCAATTTTCATAATTATTCGTGCGTTGTGAAATTGTGGAAATAAATACAAATAGATTAAAGTAGCATGGCTCAAACGGACATATTTCAATACAAGAATAAGCATATTTGGCGCAAATATGATATTAAATCGTTCGTTTCGTGGCAAAAGCAGCAGTGCTGTGCGCTTGTGTAAAAAATAATTGCGCGTCGAGATCCGAGCGTCGAGAGGGCAGTAAATTGCCAGCTCTTATTCTCGGTTTTGTTGGTATCATTCGAGGTACAGCGGAAGCTTGTGCTTCCGCCTCTCCCTCTATCCCGCAAAGAGTTACGCGCCTGCTCCATAGAAGCGCGCATTTATTGACCTGCGCCCCAGCCATCGTGGCAAGAGCTGCACTGCTAGTTTAAGACTCACGAGCAGAGTGACCGAAGAACCCAAAAGGCCTTGAAAACTTATATTCGTGGAGTCCGAGGCCAGAACGAGCAGACTAAGGAGGAAATCGTGCTGCCGTGGACTCCTCGTCAACATCTAATCGAGACTGTAAAAATAGTTGAAGCATCCGTGCGTGAGAATCTGCGAAGCGACGTCGCTGATTGACGTGACGCGTAGCGAGTGTACATAGGGATGCAGTGATTTCTTGCTAATCCTTTGAAGGACCTCGATCGTTGCTACATTCGTATCGAGACTCACGTTAGCGCCGAATATTCAATGATGATTTCCAGAGTGTTTAATGTTAACTTGCCGAAGAGGAATTAGGTGACAAGTGATGCTATAATTGGCGTGGTACATTAAAATATTTTTCGAAGCTGCTCCAATTCATTAATCATGCTAAAGTGAGATCTTACGATGGAGTTTATCATATATGTCGATTAGAGAAAGTAACGTAGTTTCTTATATTTACTATAAATATTCGTAAATGGCTTGAATTATGCTATGCATGGACAACTTGGCCACTTTCCATTGTTGTACATACCTTCCTATTCAACTGTTTTGAATTACAAGACTGGACCATTACAATTATTTGGAAATGAATGCGAATTTATTTTTGATAATTGCACATACACGATGATACTCGTATATTAGCATGACATTTCATTCGAATGGACCCTCGTTGTTGCAGAGGGGACTCCTTTCAAACATCATACGAAGTTTATTCTACCACAGCATCAATTTACAAATGCCACCGTTTCATTTAAAAACCAATCGTGCTTTATTTACTCGAGATATCCCTTCGGAGCAAGTCCGGAGGAAGATAATCGTGGCATTATCATGAACGCGCCAGTCGCTTCTCACGAATCACAGAAGGCGTATCATTTGCAGCCCCTTCCTTATCAATCGAGTTTCATTAATGTACACTCATCGAGTTTCCCACAATACAACGCTATATTCCATCTCTGTTAAAAACTATCTCGTCGCTGAATAAGCTCATAAACTAGGATAAAAGGAAGTAAGACATCGTTGGGAAGTAAGACTTCGTCGGCCACCTACACATGCGAAAGAGCCGTATCGATTAGCCGTAAGAAGACGTGGTTGTCGGAGCCGGCATTCTTATTACGTCGACGCGGGCAGATGGATCGTGGATTTCCCATCCTCCACATAGTGCGCTGCCGCTTCGGCAACTCGTATGGACCGAATGAGGGTCCAGCAGTAGTGGAGCCAGTCGCGGCCCCCTACGACGCCTTCGCCATGGCGCCGCACCTCCAGGCTCAGCCGTACGCGCACTTCGCGACCCAACACCACATGGCCGCCGGCCATTCCGGTTTCCTACAACACGGCAGATCTGCTGCAGGCTGCTCGCACCCCTGCGGTACGTTGTGTGTTGTGTTGCCGGGAGAATAGGGGATGTGTATCGATGTATAAATAGAACTGTCGATAAGACCGCTCGAACAAGGATTCGACTAGAAATGAGAATGAAAATTTACATGCGGAAGGAACGATTCCTCGAAAGTGAAGTTTGTATATTTATAAATCAATAGTAAGGCGGTGAGGGGCGGGGAGGGGCATAGTTTGATGGCTATTGCACTTGTAAGGAATATGAAGGAAACTCACACGGCACTGCAAATTCGCTAAGTGAAGATTTTTTTTTTTTTTGGGGGGGGGGTGGTGGGGGGTGGGCAGAGAAATTCCAGTTGGCATGAGAAGATACAGATTTTTGGGAAAAAGAGAAAAAAAATAAAAGAAAAATGCACTGAATAATATGCTTTTGCATATTATTAATCGATTCTTTAGTGTATACATATATTTTATACACGAAACGATATATTTATGTACTATATATATTTTTTTAAATAAATTGAAATATTCATTTGATATTAATTATTGTCATCCAAACAATTCGGTGTACTATATTATACATTATTATAATCATTATTTTTTTTTTTTTAATATCGCGTTTGTAATTTAATTGTTTGCTCCACGTGATAAAATTATATGGAACGTAAATTAGTCTACACATTGAAAAAGACTTAATTGAGAAAAATTTAATTATATATTCTAATGCAATGCATTGCATAGATAATTATTAAACGATAATTATCCCCATAATATTTATTTATACAAAAACAAATCAACCCTAATTTCCGTATGTATAAATTGTGAATATGTAAAATGGCTTAGAAAATATGAAAATAAATGTTCATTTTTATCTTACACTGTTATGTATGTAGGGGTAATTCAATAGAGCATTCAATCATTTCTAACTTATTCAATAATTCGGGCATTTTTCAATATAAAAGCATAAAAGTTATAAACAAATATTTATCAAAATTGCAAAAACTAAAATACAACAAATATAATATAAAAATCACTAAATTAATAATAGCCCGAGTATCATAAAAATGAAATTTTTGGCAATGGCAATAATTTTTCTTATAGTTTCACTAAAACCTAATGCAAATCCATCGGGCATATAAATTTATAATCCTCTGCTGTAGTAACATACACCCCCGCAGCTTTGCAATTTTGGCTGTAGCATAAACAGACTAACATGTTAAAAACAAAACAAAACAAAAAAAAAACAAAAAAATATCGCAATTTGCTGAAACTATAAAGGAGAGTTTCCCACACTTGCCGGTTAAATGTCCGGCCACCTGCGATCTTCCCACGCAAATATTCAATGTATATTCGTTCTCGAGTTTTTCCTTCCACAGGTAAGGGATAGAGAACAGTAGGAGGGTGAAGGAGAGACGGACGAATGGTCTACAGATTTTTCTATCTTTCCTGAAAATCATTCGATGAATAGAACCCGCGACCTTTGTCTGCGTATACCTGGTCGAGCGCCGGGTTGAAAGGAGGAAAAGACAGAAGAAAGTTCGGTCTCGTCCTTTTTCTTCGATCCATGTGTAATGCTGCTGACTCTTGTTATTCTTTGAGTTCAGTCATCCTCACAATGGAAGTGAGACTCGGAGCGCATGCATGAGGAATCTGGAATTCTTTTAGGTCGTTAGAGGAGGGGCGAAGGAAACAGAGGAAAAAAAATAACCCGCAGAGTTTCGATACAAAACTACGGGCGGGAACAATGGAAAAACCGTGCGTTCGCGCTTTAGTTCGTCGGCATAGAATTATTATGCCGTAGCCCCGTGCGGGCGTTCATTTCAATTTCCTTTAAGCTTTTGTCGTTCGTATATCGGATCCGGCGTCTTAAATTCACGCAGATGCGTGCACGCATGCGTACTTATATAGGCCCACATTTTTCCAGTATTTCAAAAGTAGCGATGGTTTTCAGTTTTGTGTAATATCGAATGGTATTACGTATGCTTATAACGTAGTCGGTAGCTTTCTTTTCTTTTTTTTTCTTTTTTTTCTTTTTTTTTATTTATTATTTTTCTTTTTTTTTTTTATTCGTTTCATCATTTCATCATTTCGCAGATTTTTTTATGGTTTTGAAGTCTCCATTCTCTATTATTCAATGTCATTCAATGCTCGATGCATCCGATTAAAAAGAATAGGTGCTTTAAAGTACAATTTAAATATATTAATGTAATATAAGATTATTTTTTATAATTATATAAAACAAATGGTGTATTTTTATTTTGGTTTTATGTTTTATATGTACGTCTATTGTCGACAGAAATTTTTTTGAAATTCAATATACCTACATCTGTAATTCTCATTATTATTTTAATAGCTTAATTTTAAATTTATACCGACGAATAATATCGAATAAAATTGCGTTAGATATACAAAGTGGTATATTTATTTATAGTTTTTTTTTTTAAATGCATATTTGTTTTTACAATGACTAGAAGGTTACAATAAAATTTGCTGCAATTTTTATCGATATCGGTGAATTGATTTATAAGAGACCCATATCCACATATTGCAATTAAATATCTTAAAAATAAATATACAACAAAGTATATTAATATATTAAATATATTAATATATTAAATTTACATAATATTGCAAATCACTATGATTTTTTTGTTTATCTTATAAAATGCCAAATACGGTGGAGGAAAATTGTTGCTTATGCATGTCAACTCCAGGCGCAGAGAGAGAGAGAGAGAGAGAGAGAGAGAGAGAGAGATTGATCGACACGTTAAATTTTGTCAAGTTCGAAATAAATAAATAAATAATTGTATAGGCAAAGTGTACTCGACTCCACGACCGAGGACAAAGAAAGTAAAATTTATCCTTTGATTTTTAATTCTCAGGACACGGCGGTATCGAAAGAGGCGGCGGTTGCTGCAAGAAGTACGTAGTGCTCTGCTGCTTATGCGGTGGACTGAGTGCCGCCGTTGGTAGCCTCTTCTTGGCTGTCCACGCTGTTCTATCGGCGCACACCGCCAGCTTAGCTCTTTTCGAAACCGTACCCTCTTATATTCCTGGCACGATGGTAAGCCCCTCGCTCTTTCATATCTTCTCTTAGGCATTGGGGATTAAAATTCGTTGGGTCTTTCGTGTAACACGAGCAATGTTATATTTGTCTTTTAAATTAAAATGAGTACTCTTGTATTATGTCTTGTAGCAGTGAGTTTACAATCTTATACAAACGACTACTTATGAAGAGAACTTATTTTTATAATAGGTATATGCAAGTAGTAAGTAAGAGAGAGAGAGAGAGAGAGAGAGAGAGAGTGAGAGTGAGAGAGAGAGTGAGTGAAACAACTACATTATATTCAAGATAAAGTAAAAGATTTTATGAACAAGATGCTAAATACTAATTTTGTAATGAAAAACTGATGAAAAAGTCGATAGCTTACATATATATTTTTAATAAATCTCTTAACTTTACTTAATGAATAAACAATATAAATACATCAGCATAGATTTGGTAAAAATAGCGATTCATATACATATTGTTTTAATTATGTTTTATTGAATGTTGATATTGTACCGACACTTTTATTGCCTTTGAATCGACGCTTGTTTTTTAAATGATAATATTTTCATCTTTCATATTTAAATATCCAATAAATAGATGAAATTAACATTTATATTGTTTGCAGCTTATATTTATGGGTCTGTTCACGATGCTACTAGCAAGAAGAAAACATCGCTATGGATTTCTGGTTAGTATCGTACTCCACTCATTTTGCTCTTTTCTCGTTCTTGTCACTTTCTCCCTCACCATTTCCTTCAACTCTTTCTTTCTTTCTTTTTCGTTTTTTCGTCGAGAAAATTACTCTTACCCTTTCTCGCCCGTTCGAGGGGTGACTCTTCTCTATCAGTCCCCAAATATGAAAGTGCACGATATAATGTTTAGTCTCCAATTATTTGTACAGATGAAGGTTTGCGGTTCTGTGAGCGTTGTCTGCGCGCTCGTCTGTGTTCTCGTAACCGTCACGACGACTGTCGTGCACATGTCAAGGCTCCAGGGACTGCGAGAATGCGTCTACACAGAACGTGCAAAGTAAGGAAACTATTTCATTCTTTATGTAATTTGGTAGAAAAACTTTTTAATTACATTACATTTTTACCCGCTATGGACTATAAATATTTAAGATATGAATGCATGCAATTTTATACCGAATTCGAAATTATTCTAAGCTTACATTAAGCGTAATAAGTTTTTTTATTTATTTATTTCTTTACCAATATGAAAGATTCGATAATAAATATTTCCTCTCAAAATACACAATTCCATTCTTTGCCGTGGAAAAAACAAAATAATTACCGTGTTTATTCATTCAATGAAATCCAATATGTTAAATATCTTGGATATTATATTGTCGGATCCTCTTTATAAAGAAATACTTGGAAATTTTTGAAAAAAATCCTTAAATACTCTCTCATTTGAGTTGAATTTATGCGTCGACCTTATGGTCTAAGGATATATTATAATAAAAATAGTGATTCATTTCATTGATAATTGAAATTCTTTTTTTTAATGTTTCTATTTTCAACAACGCCTCAAAAAATATTGCAAATAATTTTTATGTCCTACCTAGATCATTTAACATTATATTTTGTAAATATTACTTTTTAATCATCATCGCCATTATAATATTAAATGTGATAATTAAAGGAAATTTTATGGCTTCTCAATTATTGAAAAAAAATTAAAATTTTAAAGTTATATTTCAATCTTAAGTAACATTACAATTATTAGTTTAATAGAAGAAAAAAAAAATAATTAATAAACAATAAATAAATAAATAAATAAAAGATTCTATGTTTCGGAACAATAAATAATATAATTTTTTTATTAAGCGATAGAATCTTAACTCTTAGCAGCAATTTTATCGAATCAAGTGCAAGAAATGTTTACGACCCTCGGAACACGTACATAATAAATTTTCTGCTTTTTATTTATTGCCTGTATTCTTACTGTTGTCGCTGTTGTTATATAAACCTGTAACGCTGTGAAATGTGAAAATTATGGAAAAAGTTATTTCACTTCAATAATAGTCTAATGTACGTCAATAGGTCATGCACGTGCTACGGAGCGCCTCAGTCACGTGCCTCTGACCCTGGAGTATTATTCGAAGGGACCCCAGACTGTGAAGCTGTCCACGGGGCACTTTATGCTTGCTTGCGGGCCCTCTTCGGCGTCTCCGTGGCTGGCATACTTGCCTGCATTTTCTCCTGCATGCTTGTATATCAGCTACTCAGTCACGAGAAGAAAAAAATGTACTGGGAACAGTTGGAACTGAGATGTCGTTCGCTTTATAATCAAGGCGCCGGGGCAGCTTTGGTAAATGCCAGGCCCACGGGCACTTGTGGATGCTGCAACGATTGCGGTGGCATCGGGCCCTGGTGGGCTCAGTCACCGGGCAATCTGTACACGCCCAATCCAGATCTAGTCCCATCGAGGTAAGCTGTAAAATATTGTAGAATGATAAAAAAACTTGTTCGAGAGATAAAAATCGTAGAATAGAGAATAAATTTTGTATTTAGCAGTGAGTAGCATTAATATTGTGAAACTACATGAAGCGTGTATATTGTTAGTGTAGGATAACAAACAAAAAAATCTTGAAATTAATATTTTTTGAAATATTTTAATTTTATTCGTTAATTTTATTAGCATTAAAAGAATGTTAGGGAAAAAAGATTAAACATTTTATGTAATTTATCGTTATATATATATATATTAGAAAATCGAGTGTAATGATAATATAAAGGCTTTTCATAGACTTTAAATCTTTCAAATAACATTTGAAAAAAAAAAAAAAAAAAAAAAATAAGTACCTATTGTCGTTACAAGGATCGTCCATAACAATGGTAAGTTCCATTAAAATCAACGAATTTTCATCGTATGAAAGTCGCGTTTACGGCATCAAAGGCCCTGCATATTTCTGAAACCGTAGGCCTGCAACGTTTACGACAGAACGTCTTTGGAAAGTGTTGAAACACTCACTGTGGCAAAAGTATGCCCGGTGCAACCTTGACACGCTCAATTATACGATGAGAAATAGGATCAATAAGTGTGAACAGAACAGTATCCCCATCCCTTTCCTCTTCACTGACCTATCTCTGTAAAAATAAGTCGATACACGAGTGACAAAACAGAAGCTCTGACTTTCCGTAGGCGTTGGCGATTGCCGTGGTTGCGCAGCAGGGGCCCAGCACCCAGTGCCGACGCCAACTATGGCTTCCACAGTCAAGCAGGTGCTGGGAATCTTGGAAACATCGGAGCCCATCGCCAATCGGAGGGCCTCATGGACTCTGCTGGCATCGTGCCCTACAGCATACTGAGGCCACAGTCGGCTGGTGCGTACTCCATTCTTCAAGCAACAGGACACGATGATCCCTACACTCAAAACAGCGGCCCCAGTCCTTACAGCGTACTTGAGACGGCGGTGCCACTTTGGGGCCCACCACCCCCTT